TTCTCTTGTTATGATGATTTAATTGAACTATTTTTAATTTGTTTTACACAATAATTGGTGTGAAATTTAAATAAAAAAAAACAAAAAATATTCCTTCTGTCCCACAAAATATTTCATGTTTTGATTTTTGGGAGGAGAAATTGTAGAAATTTAACCAAAGTGCAGTGAAATGACGATAAATAAAATGAGTAGGTTCGGGAAATTTCTATTTTATTCCTCGAGACTATTAATGGACTTTAATTGTAGCGCGGTATTTAAGTTGTAGGGATGGTTTGGATCTAGAGAAGCAAAGACAATTACAGTAAATGAAACTTTGAGTTGAATCAAAGACAAAGATTGGAGGCATATCATTGTGGAAAGAGATTGCAAGAAAGTTGTTGATGCTCTTAATAATTCCATGAATGACTGTCTTATTTTCATAGTGAAATTTGCACTGAATAGAACTAAAACATAACTCATTTCCCAATGTAGGACCTAAATTTTTTTATTCCCTAAATAAGACTTAATAATGACTAGTGAGAAGAATATTGTCCAAGTGATGTTGGACATTTAGTTGAATAATGACTAATAGATAATGACCAATGATCCTACATTGAGAAATAAAAACATATGGTCCTATATTGAGAAAGTCATTATGTTTTAGTCTTATTTAGGTAAATTACCCATTTTTATATTATTATTGATGATTGTAAACGTCTCTAGTGTCTTTTAAGTTTCAGCTTATTTTTTGCTCTCTGAATGTAGTTGTTTCACTTGTTTGTGTGTTAGCTTGAGCTGCGTACGCATGTTCCTTTGAGAGCATGGGAGAGTGAATTGAGTCATCTCTAGTTTTTCTTGTAACATCTATTTAATTTAATATAGTCACTTATTTATAAGAAAATAACGATTGTATAAAAGCTTGGGTGGTGTATTCAATTGAGAATCCGTAGGCTTTTTTTGTACTTTTAAAATCTGGGTGTATTCAATTTAAATTTTCAAAAATATTTAAAAATCATGCGGTATTCAATAAATATTTTAAAAAACCTTTAAAAAAATTTTAGGTATTCAATAGTCAATGAGTTTTAATATTCAATGGATTTTGTTGGATTCTCTCACAAAATAATGTTTATCTCAAATTTCTTCTCACAACTTCAGATTTTTAAGGACTTATGAACAGAGAGGTGACACCTTCTGTACTCTTTCCCCTGGGTGCACTCCAAATCCCCACACAACATAGATCGGAAAACATATCTCGACAAGTGCAACGACTTCACCTGAATCGGGGAAAATAGATCAGAAACATTTTTTTAAGAGAGATGAAGACTTGGGTACAGACTTCACTTGAATCTGAAACAGATCGGCGAGTTTTTAAAATTCCATCCCAAATCCATATTGAAAGCCCAAAGTTCTGATCTAACTGCGGCAAATTTACTTCTTGCATGTGTTGTCGCAAGGTGCAACTTGAGGGGGCATTCAGTTCTCAAGGTAGAAGAAGAAGAGAGAGGCGCCCTCTGTATTACTTAAATTCTATGAAATCCATGTGAATCAATAGAAAAGTTTGACAAACTCTACACAGAGTCTATGAATTTTAAAAATCCACCAACTTTTTAGAGTTCAAAATTTTTTAATACATTCTCAATTGAATACACCTCGTTTAGTTTATGAATGAGAACAAATATTTGAGAATCTTAAGCCACAAAGTAATTTTAATTTGAAGAAAGTTATATTCATCATGTTATTGAGAAGCATTATTTAATTATTTAAGTTGTGTAATAGTATAAAGTTAATAGTTGAAAACTTGTAAAAAATTATCTTCGGTGCAATTATAATATTAGAAAATAAATTTGTAGAGAAGATTTACACAGCCTAAATGAATTATGTACTCCGTATCATTTCATACAAGGCTACACTTGAAGTTTCAAAGTGTACAATTTCCAATAGTTTATATTTCGTAATGATTATAAATAAAAGTTATGGCCAAACATTGTCAATTTGTCATTTATAAATAAATAAAAGTTAGGCAATTAAATGTTTCTTTGGTAGTCTTTATAACATCACAAAAAATGTTGTATGCCTCAAACTTTCAAAATCTTGTAATTCAAATAAGACTTTGATATGTTAATTTTCAAATATATGTAGTAGAATTTTCATTAGCAAATGCTATATGTTATCACTATTTTAATTTTTAAGGTCGATGTTTTTTGTTTGACTTTCAAAAAAACGTTGTTGCAAAGAAAAATTAAAAATTTGAAACAAAAAATCATCCCACCCCGTGCATGGCATAGGTTAAAATACTAGTGTTAAAAATGCTTATTAAAACTTAGTTTATACTCCGTATTTCACACTAAATAAAGCAAATGATAAACAAAACAATGAAGTATCTCAAATGCTTGTTAATATTTTTATAATCATATAATTAAAACTTGAATAAGAGTATAATTTGTGCATGATAAAAATTGAACCAAAATTTAAAATAAATTTATTATTTAATGGAAAATATAAAGATTATTACATTTATAATTAATTAGTATATATCTTTGGTTCGGTGTTTCCAGTACGGAAAGTTACTTCATACCATTTCCAAATACTGTATCGACTATTTGGTTCGATATGATTCAGTTTCTTGGCAGTATTTTTTGGTTTGATACTCTTGATTACTTTTAGACATTTCAAGTTCAGTTTAATACTTGCTCGCCCTAGTGAACATGAAAAACATGAGACCGTCTAATTAAAGAAAGATCATCTCAATCCAAACGGTCTCAATTTTATTTATTTCTTTATTTAGTTATTCATCTAGTTGGGACTCAAAAATTGAGATATCTATTAAATGAGTATCTTACTGTTTAAAACTCTCATTCTAGCTATACTCAACTCCTCGATTCTCCATTAGAAATGCTCCAACATAATTCTTAGACTATTGGTATGGGGTGCGACCCGCCCAGAGGTGGCGACTAGTCATTGTGCGTGCCCCATCGCGCTCCTTCCGTTGTGCCACACCGGGCATGATGGGAGCGTGACCACAAAGGTGTGACCGCCCTCATCACTGCGGTTGCATTGCTCGGTTTCTCGTGCTACATGTCATTGAAAAACAGCTATGATGTCATTGCACATTTTTTTTGGACCATTACTTCTCAAAACAAAATTTATAAATACTCATATCTTCACTCGTCTATCTTCACCGTTTGAATTTCTTCCTTATTCAACTAACTAAAAAAGCATTTAGTATAACTCTCTTCTCAATTCTATACTATCTTCTCTCAAATGAATCCAAACAACCCCAACAACCTTTATTACAATATATATTTTTTTGGTTGTTATCGGCCTCAAATGGATCAAAATATGCCAAACATATCTGGTCATAACCCACTGATATGCCTATTTCAAACACCCCGATGACACAAGACAACATGTTTATGACATTTGCGAATTAGTCCCAACAACAACCGAGTTTTTTTTGCAATCAACGCCGAACGTCGAAGCATATTTGAATCTGTGTGCCTAAGACGCAACCTGAATCCAAGCTCGAGCCCGCGTCAGAGGCCGACCTTGAACCCACGCATAGAAAGTCAAGGTCGCACAAGAAGAAGGCGGAGCGGGAGAAAGTCCAGAAGGCGGCCAATGCTAGCTAGGTGGACTAACAAGGAGGAAAAAGTCCTTGCCCGTGTATACATCAACACGTCCGAAGATCCGGTCAATGACACAATTTTCCACTCTTATTAAATTTACTTCTTTTTTAATCTTATATTTTTATTACTTCTTTTACTTTTATCATATTTTTTTTAAAATATGATAATTATAGGGAATAACCAAACCTCATCCATTTTTTTGCATGCGGGTTCAGATCACATTTTTCAAAAAAATGGCGAAGAGGGAATACTGGTTGAGGGACATGCTTTCTCGTAAAGAGTCATTACACAATAATTTCGTCACCCCATTCACCGCCGCACTATACCATACTTAAACAATGAATGCAAAGATATATTCACATTATTACAATACAAACTTCTATATTGAGAATAAAAACATGGATATAATATTTTGCTATTATTTATATGTTTTACTTCTAGATTAGTCTTTTTCTCACTTTTAAATTTCATGAAATTAATTTTTTAAGGATTAATTAATTTGGGATGGAGAGAATAAGAATATGAGATTATTCTCTTCAACTTAATCTTATTAAAATAAAAATAGTTTTAAACATAACTATAGTCAAATCACATCTTAATAAGACCAAATTAGATCTAATCTTATCAGACAAAAGGAACAAGTTCAGTCTAATCATGACAGTACTCCTTCCATTCTCTTTTAACTATTGGTTTGCTATTTGAATCTAATATTTGATTAACAACATGTTTTAAAATATGTTAGAAAAAAATTATTAAAAAATTAAAAATCATACATTAAAACTACTTTTCGATACCAATAATTTGATATAAACTTATAATTTTAATATATAAAGTGAAATAGACTTGTATATTTTTTTAAGTTAATAAAACTTTATTAATGCATAAAAAACGGTTAAACAATGTTGGGAGGTGTAGAAACCCAAGCAGAACGTCGGGCCTCCGCACACCTAGCAAGAGTATGAGCAATCAAATTTGCCTCACGACGAACAAAGGAAATGGAAATGAAAAAAAGAGAATGACACCCCATCCCCGAAGTCCTCTCAGCACCGACCAAACAATTAACTGCGAGAAAATAAATTGACCTATAATCTGAGTCAATTAACCTAAGAATGAGATTTTGTGACTGGATACTAGCAGAAATTTCATGCTTTACAAAATTAGCTTTCATCGCTACCATCATAGTCTCACCGGAAAGTAATGGTATGTGAGAGGGAGTGTCGTATTATCAGCTTATCCAAAGCGAGCATTAAATGATGTCGAGAGCAATAAATAACCACCTAGCTCTGTACTTCAATGACTTAATCAATCGCCTTGTTTTTTTATGGTCAACACTCAGCAAATTACCCAAACTACCCTTCTATTTCTCACTCTGTAGTCTGTACTGTAGCTATATCTCGGAACTCCTAGCTCATTGTTTCTCTCTCTAAAATTCCCCACACCGATGTCCATTTTCTCTCTCTAAAACTCTACTGTATCCGTGCGCTAAACCCTAGAAACTCCCCAATCCCGCCGTAATCAGCCGCCGGATCTGAGCTCTGTCATGCACGCCTCCGGTGATCTGAGCTGATTTCTCGCCGGACCGGTCTGTTTGCTTCCGATCGCGGGTTCGTTGTTCGGTTGGCGTCGGCGGAGAAAAATGTATAAGAACCAGCTGCAGGAACTGGCGCAGAGGAGCTGCTTCAACTTGCCGTCGTATAGTTGCATCAGGGAAGGTCCGGACCACGCGCCGCGGTTCAAGGCGACGGTGAATTTCAACGGCGAGACTTTCGAGAGCCCCCAGTACTGCACCACCCTCCGCCAGGCGGAGCACTCCGCGGCAGAGGTGGCGCTCAATGCTCTTGCCAACCGCGGATCTTCCAATTCGCTTGCTGCCAGGATATTGGTGAGTCTTTGTTATGTTGTCTTTGGCCAGTCTTTATTGAGTGTTTTGTTCTCTTCTTCATGATTTAACTTTTCCTTGCTTCCAATTTGTTCGTATCTGGAATCCCCTAATAGAGTAATACTTGAAATGTGATTTTCTTATTTTTGCTTCATACTTTCCCAGACCATGAACAATGACTCCATGTTTTCATTAGACCTTTTGAAAGACAGATATTGGCCTTAAAACGTTTTCCATTGTTAACCTAATAATGCACTAAGTTTGGTTAAAAATTAAAGGGAACTAGTAAAAAATTAAATCATGCTCCCTCCGTCCCAATGTCCCATATTAAGCTTCTAAAAAGTGAGCGGTTGATTTTTTTTCTAGAAGTAATTGAAATATCGTGAGCCATATATTCCATTACTTAATAGGAAATGAGAGAAGTATTATGTTTATTTAGGGAAGACTAAAACAGTGTGAAGATTATTTCGGGACGAGGGGAGTATTTACCTGCTAAATTCATAAAACTGACCCCTATATAGAGAAACTGATATCATTTCTTCCACCCTGAAGTTAAAAGTTTTCCTTAATTTAATAAGTGCTGGTAAAACTTACCGAGGACAAGGCCGCCAGGCTGCAGGGAGCATGCTTCTGATCCGAGAAAAATTGGAGACTGCAAAGTGGTGAAGTGATGGTTGTTTGGAACATCATTTAAGTAAGAAAAAACAAATAAATGTTGAAACACAAATTGCAAAACTTGAAGCAGAGGCGCAGATGTGAGACACCAGACGAAATGCTCGATGCTGAGAAGATGCTGGACCAGATTGCCCCCCATAGAATGACATATACTCCGTATATACCTTGTCATCACCCGCAAAGTCGGGGATGCCGACACCGGCTGCCCCCAGCCCTCAATCCACCACGTTAGTTAAGTGGCTCAGCACAAGTGTTCTTTTTTGGGGAGTGGAAGGACCTGTTGTCTTATAGTGCTCTTGGTTTTGATGTGTTGGTGTGCCCCTGATTCTCGAGGATCATTTGACTCACTTATGCCCTGCCTGACAGTTCTAGCTGAGACAGGAGTGTGGGATGTGAGTTGTTGCAGGGTTGTAACCCTTCTACTTAAGCAAGTTGTCTCTAAGCTGAGTCCAAATCCTTTAACGGTGCATGAGGTGTACCGCACTACCACCTTTGGAAGATATTCATGTTTTTGCATGGGTTTTAATGCCCAGAATGCAGATATTTGTATTCTGCTTCTCCTTTATTTGTTTGTATCCTCCGTGCACATTCTCATGGATGCTCCTGCTGATGGTTAGTGTAGCCATGACAGTTCTTGTGAGATAGGGCTTGTGTTGATTTTTTATGGGCTGCTGCAACCACCAGCTTCATTGGGTATATATCTTGATGGTTTGTACACACTGGCGTCTGGCTGAGAATTTAGCGTGCTAGTTGGGAGTCTAGAAGTATTAATGCTATGCAATTTCTATGAACCGTGTAAATGGTTGTATCTCACTATGTCATCTCATTGCCACTTAGTTCAGCTTTGGGGCTTCATCTGTCCTCCATGTAGTCTCTTATTATGTCTTAAGAAAATACATGTTGGTTAATTCCAGCCCTGGATTTAGTTTAAATTTTAAAAAAAGGCAGGCAGTTACTAGTTACAGTTTTTTGATAGTTTCCAACAGATGTGTTGGTTAGAAATTGTTGTGTCTATTTGTAATGGTTGTGTTGTTTAGTCTTCTATTTATATGTATGGACACATAGTTCTGGATAGCAGTTCCACAATAAAAAATACACTGTTTCTGGATAGCAGTTCCACAAAAGACTTTTAGGTGGGATGCAAAATTGATACACCCCCTCGAGGATTTCGCCATCTAAATGATGTGTATTCAAGAACTCAATCAATACAAGAGAAGGCTTTCAATCCACCTCACTTTGATATGGCAGAACTATTACTATCCAATGAAGAACCAAGTACCTTTAATGAAGCCAAAGATAGCAAAGAATGGAATGCTGCAATGCAAGACGAATTGGACTCTATAGAAAGGAATGGAACCTGGAAATTGGTTGAACTCCCGAAAGGAGTTAAACCGATTGGTCTGAAGTGGGTTTATAAAGCCAAAAGGGATGCCACAGACAATATAATTCGCTATAAAGCGAGACTCGTTGCGAAGGGGTATGTCCAAAAACATGGTATTGACTACGATGAGGTGTTTGCTCCAGTTGCTCGAATGGAAACAGTTTGTTTGCTTCTATCCCTAGCTGCACGAGATGGTTGGGAAGTTCACCATCTTGATGTGAAGATGGCTTTCCTTCATGGAGACTTAAAGGAGGATGTATATGTATCACAACCTGAGGGGTTCGAGAAGCCAGGAAAGGAACATCTCGTGTACAAACTGGTAAAAGCTTTATATGGCCTGAAGCAAGCCCCAAGAGCCTGGAATTCAAAGCTAAATGCAACTCTACATCAACTTGGTTTCGAGCGTTGTCCACGTGAACATGCAGTATACAAGCGAACCACAAAGAATGGACCTTTAATAGTTGGTGTATACGTTGATGATCTAATCATTACAGGTCCATGCAAGGATGAGATTGTTGGATTCAAAAGACAGATGAAAAACTGTTTTGAAATGAGTGATTTGGGGCTTCTAACATACTATTTGGGAATAGAGGTGAATCAAGACAAAACTGGCATTACTTTGAAGCAAGCAGGATATGCAACAAAGGTTCTAAAAAATGCAAATTTGTGGGAGTGTAATCCTGCAAAATTTCCTATGGATCCAAGTCTCAAGCTGAGTACCGAAGGATTATTGGGTGTCTTCGATATCTAACCCATACAAGGCCAGATATGAGTTATGCAATTGGAATAACCAGTCGATTCATGGAGTCACCAAAAACATCACATATGCAAGCTGTAAAACAGGTGCTGCAATATTTGAAGGGTACAATCAATTATGGGATTCGCTACAGGAGGAATGGCGATGCAGATTTAGTTGGTTATAGTGACAGCTCACATGCGACTGATCGGGCAGATGGAAAGAGTACAACTGGGATGATTTTCTATTATGGGGGTGGTCCGATAGCATGGTGCAGCCAAAAACAGAATACGGTTGCACTATCTTCATGTGAGGCTGAGTTTATGGCGGCAACGGCAACTGCATGTCAAGCTGTCTGGTTAAAAGGTTTGCTTGAAGAAATCACTGGTCAAAGCATGGAACCCATAACAATTCACGTGGATAACAAGGCTGCAATCATGTTAATGAAGAATCCAGTGTTCCATGGGAGAAGTAAGCATATTGACACTCGATATCATTTCATTCGTGAATGTGTCGAGAAAGAGCTAGTAAGGATTGAGCATGTAAGTGGTGACGAGCAGAAAGCTGATATCTTGACAAAAGCATTACCGAGGGTCAAGTTTATCGAGATGAGGCAACTGATGGGCATTGAAGATTTGGCAGGAATGAGGACTGGAATCAAGGGGGTGAATGTTGGTTAATTCCAGCCCTGGATTTAGTTTAAATTTAAAAAAAAAGGCAGGCAGTTACTAGTTACAGTTTTTTGACAGTTTCCAACAGATGTGTTGGTTAGAAACTGTTGTGTCTATTTGTAATGGTTGTGTTGTTTAGTCTTCTATTTATATGTATGGACACATAGTTCTGGATAGCAGTTCCACAATAAAAAACACACTGTTTCTATACTTTAGATCTGTCATTATTTCTGTCAATACACTTCAACCTGCAGCATAGTCAGCCTATAAGTCTCATCTTGTTTGTGTTACAAACTACTAGTACTTTTTTAGGTTTATGATCTACTTCTGGTCCATGACCCAACACGTGGTCCATCTTGTCCCAACTCCCAACCTATGATAGTCCTTTAAGTTTTATCGTAATCCAGGGGAACATCAATTAAGATTGAAGACAAAATTATTCTGCAGGTGATATAATTTACATATTCCTATGTCATAAACGATAAGTAAAAAATCAAAACAGCATATTCGCTTATTTGTATTATTGTATCACTGTATCATTTAATTCATCAAATGTATTACTTAAATAGGTAACTATGAGTATAGGTGGGACCATTGACTTGGTTCACCTAAGAATTGTCCAATAAGTTGTTAATGTTATGCTTGCAGTGTTGTAAGCCTTTTGGGTTGCAGTTTATATCTTCTATGCAATGATTCTTTATTTCTTATGCATTCCACTTGCAATTAGTACTAGTATCCTTGTGTTTTCTTCCCTCTAATTATTTTGGTCCACAAATTTTTCAGGATGAGACAGGAGTGTACAAGAATCTCCTGCAAGAAGTTTCTCAAAGAGTAGGAGCATCTCTGCCGGTGTACACAACATTCAGATCAGGCCTAGGACACCTACCTGTCTTTACTGGTACTGTGGAGTTGGCGGGCGTTATATTTAGGGGAGAGCCTGCTAAAAATAAAAAGCAAGCTGAAAAAAATGCAGCTATGTCAGCTTGGTCATCCCTAAAATTATGTAAGCAATCCAAATCCTTTGTATTTTATCGATGCAGTTTGATATTACATAACATCAAAGTTCTTTCCTTTCCCCCCCTACAAAACAAGAATTACTTGATTGTCATTTACTTATTGTGGTAACAGAATTCACTTTCTTCTAATGAAGTGAAACTAGGGCATACAGTCTCAATTTGATTACTAATGACTATTACTCCGTAATTAATCAAGTCATTTCCATTTTTGCGGTGTAGAAGAGGAAAACAAAGATGAGTGTGTGGACACATGCTCAAGCATTCTTTAACCTCACATTTAGTGCGGATTATTGCACGATAAATTTGGAAAGTCATAGGCAATTGTAATTTTTTCATATTAATTCTGAAAAAGGAGAAAAACATCAATGTTTTCTGGTGCATGATTGGATACTAGTCACTTCACATCGCTAGAGATTTATGATTCAACTGCTAAGTTACTAAATTTGATCTTTACTCAAATTGCATTGTTCCAATCAAGCGATCATTGAATATTACTCCATAGTTTTGGTAATTTGTATTCAACTAAGTTTTCCTTGAATTTGCTTGGCAAACCTCTATGAAGTGATACTCCTTGAGTTGACACCTGATTACGGCTAGCCCTAAAAAAAGGGGGAGGAAACAAGAAATTTCCTTATAGTCAATTAAAGTGTGACACCTTGAGTCATTACTTTGTAATAGTTTACTTGTTAACTCTTAGGATTAATATCTGAATCTACACTTCATCTTAAATTCGTGCACCTGTGGTGTATGAGCAGAGTGATTTTTGAAAACTTGTTTGATCTTTTCCACCTTATTTATACATTGAATGACATGTACCCTTCCATCTACCCAGTGGCACAACAATCGGAGAGTTCAATGCCGCCAGATAAAGGGAGAAATGATGAGCAAGAACATGTAACTGTAGCACGAGCTCTGCACAAATTTCTGATCAAGGCAAAGTTGGCCAGAATACCATTTCCCATAAACTTTTCAGCCCCAACTCCAAGACCCTCAAATAATACACAGCAAGTTACAGCCACCACCTCCAAAATACTTCCCCTGATATGCCCAAGAACAGCCACCCACAACCGACCTCTCAGTCCGGGATGTCTAAGACCTACTACTGCCCAGACCAGACCTAATCTGGCTGAGAAGTTTCCGGCCGCCAGTGCTGCCCCTTACATCCCAATTCGGCATTTTGGCCCCCACCATAGGGTTGCACCTCCAGTGACGATACGGAGTGCCATTCCCGTATTCTCCGCACCACCGCTGCCTCAGTCTCCAAAAGTAGTAGGGCCCGCAACGCCAGGAATGGCTCCATCTGTCTCTATAAGACATGTTGCACCTGTTAATGCTACCCCTCCCCCTGTTCGTGCAGAGGAGTTATCAAACGCGAAGGAGCTGTCATCTTCTAAAGCTCTGCCAGACAACTCCCCGGAAATTCGTGTTCATCACCAACAACCTAAACCTGCATCAGAGAGAGCAGAGGAACCTCCTAGTAACCTTGGAACAGTCTCAGAGGAAAAACAGGTTGCTGTGAAGGAGGAGAAGCAGCAGCAGGAGGAGAAGCAGGAAATTGAGGAGTTGAAACAGCTAAAAATCTAATGTCAGCCAAAGAGTTTCAGGAAACATTCCAACAGCCCCATGTGCTGCTGTTGGGTGCCACAACTGTATGTGTGGCCTTGTTGTAGTTTTATTTTATTCTCAGTTTGTTTTTTTTGTCTTTCAAAATACTGTTGTTCTTTTAAGTAGAGTTTAAGTAGCTATCTTAAAAAAAAAGTGCTTGAAACGTTTGGAATGGGTACTAGGTGTGCTTCTGTGTTGTTGTGAGAGGTGAATGCCTTCTGGGTGGGAGGCTAAGGCAGTGGGTGTTAGCTCATATTGTCAATGTTATAGAAACCGATTCAACCAGAAGCTCGGGTGTTTGGTTCTAGGCTTTGGAAAGAAGATCGCTATTGTTCAAAATCTACTCTCTAAGCCAACAACGGTGGTGTGACCCTACGGGGGTCACTGCCATAATGGCGTTGCTTCTCTCTTCTTTTTTTCACTTTTTTCCATCTCAAACTAATCAAAATTTAACATATCTGTATTTTAAAACGTCATAATAATTCATACCTTTATATAATTATATCTCATCACTCTAATTCATACCTATTACGCCACACATGTTGTTACTACTCCATGTCATGTTTCTTTACATTCTGTCAAGTTTATCACTATATATTGTCTAAAACAATTTTCTCTAAATTTAAATTGTTTGTTGTTGTTTACGATTTTTTTTTTGAAGTTATTTTCAATTCAACTTATCTGAATATTGGTATTGAATTAAAAAATAAATTTATATATGCAGTATTTAAAAATTGTATTAAAGGTTTTACAAAATAAAATGTGACAAGACTGTAATTTCTCTCGAATGAGTAAAGAATCTTGTTGAAGTTTGAACTTATGAATTTTAAACAAATAATTTAAATTGGGATTCAGAAACTAGTTGTGCAATTTATGAAAAAAGAAACATGAAGTCCTTCTCTTCAATTGAAACTTTGTGTTTTGACTTAATATTATTTTTTAATATTAAGTGAAAATATGGTTGATTTTCTTATTTTTTGCCTTTCCATTTTCTTTTTCTTTTGCCTCCATTCCATTCCCTTCATCTTCTTCTTATATATCACTTACTCAATTACACAGCTCCTCACCCATTTCCCTCCTTCATCTCATTGTCAGATCTTTGTATTCATAATACAATTTGTAGAATTTTGAAAAATAAATTCTCGAGCTTTTATTATGCACAAGGTCAAGTTTATATACAAGTGAACATGCTTAAGCCGAACATAAACCAAGAATTTTGGAAAATAACTTCTTGAGCTTTCATTATGCACAAGGTCAAGTATATATACAAGTGAACAGGCCGTAAGCCCAAACATAAACTACGGGCCTAAATACAATTAATTTCACGAAATAACAAATACTCCAATACATAACTATTCTTCCTTTATTATTTTCTTCAGCAAACTAGGAAAGATACTAAACTAAATGCCAAAGGCATTCAGGCTTCTTCTTCTAATGTCTCACGCCAACACTAACACATAAGCTTATACCTGATTCGAAAAGCATAGTTTTCAGAACCGGACCGGTGATCGAACCGGTCAAGGTACTGGTTCACTGGTTTACTGGTCGAACCAGTGGTTTAAACATATTTAAAAATTATATAAATAAATAAATAAAAACATATATATATATATATATATATATATAATTTTTAAATTTAGTAAAATAACTCAAATATGTGTATGTATGTATGTGTGTGTATATATATATGTATGTATACACACACACATGCATATAGACACACACACATTCTCATTTATAAATACCTAAAGAAAGTAATTTATAATATTTGACTATAATTATATTAATATATTTGAGTTATTTTACTAAATTAAAAAAATAAACTTTACATATTAAAAAATAATATTAAAATTTTATAAAAAATAATATCAATGATTTAATATTTTAAAATTGAAAAGGAATTTGTATACAATCTTTTTATGATTTATGAAATATTATACAAAATTATGCAAACTTGAAACAACAAGCTACTTTGCTTGGATGGTTAAGAACTCAAGCAAATGCCTCCAAGGTCTCGGGTTCAAACCTTCATGGAGTGAATTTTTGGAAAAAATCGCAAAAAAAAAAAACTGACCGGACTGGTCCGCCCGGCCGGTTCGGACCGGTTCGAAGCACATTGCGGTCCAACGGGCTGGACCACCGGTTTGCCGGTTCACGGTACGAACCGGCCAGTTCGATCCGGTTTTTAAAACTATGTCGAAAAGTACTTCCTCCATCCCTAGATCATTTACTTTTTATGCAAAATGAACTAAAATTCCAAGTTTTTTCATCAATTGGTATATAAAATAAAATAAAACTTACATATTTAAAAAATACATCAAAAAATCTGCAAAACAAGAGAGACAAAATATTTTATTTCATCAAATAGTCTCTAAAAACATACAAATAAACAAAAATTTCCGCGATTTTTAAAGAGTAAAGTGTGTAAATCATTTAGGGGCGGATGAGGTATAATTTTAGAGCATTCACAATGGCAAGGCAATGTCTTGCCTTGCCATGCCATGTCAGCAAATTCTACTTAAATCATGGCATTCCATGATCATTCTACCCCACTTTTCATTCCATGTGCAAGGCATGACTCTCTCATTTTTTATTTTTTTAATATTTTTAATATTTTTAATTTTTGAAAAAAATATTTTTTAGAAGAAGTAAACATATTTTAATAATAAAATAGATATTTAAAATAATTTTTTATAATTAAAAATCATTAAAAAGTGAAAAAATAGACAAAAACAACGACTTGCCACTGTATGTTACGACACTCCACTCATTTGCCACACGGTGACTAGGTTATTTTTTATTGATTAAAATAATACATGTCACCGTGTGGTATTTCATTTTTGTCTTGCCATTGTCAATGCTCTTAGTCATTGAAGAGATCGAGAGTATTTACATGATGAATTAATCTGGAGTTGGACCAAAGGCCGACGTTGTGCAAACCAGTGTTATTAAACCCGGATCAGATCGGACGGTCCGACCGATTGAACCGCGACCCGGATACACAATCGGTCCGATCCAACCCTCCTAAAACCCGGATCGACCCGGGACCAGTCCTCCGATCCCCGCCGGGTCGACCTTCAATTTGGTCCGGGTTTAAAATCATTGGTGACTAGCAACAATACCGAGTAGTTTTTTTTCCTTGGTCTGTTTTGGCGACGAGAGTTAGCTTGTACGGAGTATTAATTATGGTGCGGCTTCAATTATTTTCACATGTTATGCATGCAATTAGAGATCAGATGATCGAAAAGGTTGAATTGAAGTTGAGAGACCCTTTCGGCCTTTAACCAGTGGTACTACTCTCATTTGGTTATCTTTTAAATTACATTTCAAATATAATTTTATATAAATATGTTTACCTCTGATAAATATAAAAGATAACAAATTAAAAAATCTCAAATAATATACAAATTAACAATTTTTAACTTGATAAAAATACTCATGTAGCATAATAATATTTTCTCCGTCGTTCAAACTCTTTCTTTTTTTTGTCCCACAATCTCTTTATTCTTTCTATTAAAAAACAACATTTATTCAATTATCTCTACTAATTCTTACACAACTTATCTCATTATAATTATTCACTAATAATTTACTCATTACATTCTACTTTTACACATTACATCAAGAATAATTTTTAAAAGTTAACATAAAAATATATTTTCCTTTTTTTATAGTAGAAAATATATCTTTGTTAAATGTCCTAAAAATCAAAACAAGAACGACATTGTTGGACAGAGGAACTAAGAAGTATCACGTACCTCTGTCCTAAAATTAACTTTCCATTTCGACTTTTGTGGTCAAATTTTTTGAACTTTGACCAACTATTACGAAAAAATATATATTAAATTTTCATATAAATTTAATATCAATAGATTTATTTTGAAAACGTAATTTTGAAATATTTTATTTTTGTAATTTATATTTATATATAAATAGAGATGTTAATGATAAACTATTGCATTGAAGACCGTCAAAAGTCAAATGAAAAATTAATTTTAGAACGAAAAGAAGTATTATAAGCAACTATTGATATTAAAAAAGATGAAACGCCTACTCCGGACACCTCCACACCCTGGACCGACAGGATTGTGAGAAAAGTATTAATATCAAGGAGCATGCTACCCTCACCCCACTTTGTACCCCATTTTATATCTCAAAGCCCTACCCTGACATAAAATATAGGTGCAACACTGACATAGTACTAGTTTTGCACTTACATTTAATGTCAAGGCAAAACCTTGAAATACAAAATGGAGTACAATTATGAGATACAAGTAGAATTCTCGTAATATCAAAGAAAGTATGGTTAGACATGCATTTGAACTTGCTTCTAAAGATTAAACCTAGCCTGTTTTTCTTAGAGAGTAGCTTAGGTAGAATTACACTTACATAAATGTGGCCAACCACCACTAATCCACTATCACAATTTCGGCCTAGAATCGTCGTCGTCGTTAGTTGGGCAATTTATGTCGAAAAAGACATGGCCAAATGATGAGCCAGCCTTTAATTTGCTTTTTTTTTTAATAAAAGATGAAAAGACGAGTTAAATTGAGTTATACTCCCACCCTTCTTGAGTATTTCCGGATTTTTAACTTTTGTTGATCATACTTTAACTTCAAATCAAATAAAAATAGTTTCAAAAGTTGAAATAAAAATAGTTTTATTAGATTTATTATATGAAATATTTTCAAAATGCTATTTTATCCAATTAATATAAAATACTCTCTCCGTCCCAGAAAACCTTTCTCCTTTCTTTTTTCATCCATCCCAAAAAACACTTCTCATTTCTATTAAAAAGTCACTTTTACCCCTTACTTTTTCATACCCTACCTATCACATCATACCTTTTTACTAATAATCTATCCATCACATCTTACTTTTATCCATCACATCAAAGGACATTTTTGGAAATTCAATACCAAAATACACTCCTCTTAAATCTCTCTTCAAAATCAAAACTCCCATGTTTTCCGGGACGGAGGGAGTATATTTTATTTAATTATAAGTCAACAGTTGAAAATAATTGACAGAAAAAAGTTAAAACCAAACAAATAGTCAGAGACGAAAGAGATACTAATATTAATCACATAACTTAAATCTCTCTCTTTATAATAACTTTAAAGTTTATTGGATCATAGGATCCCATCCCTCCCCCAGCCAATGATTACTCCGTTAAACTAACTATTAGAAATATAATTAAGCTATTTGTACTCTAAAAGCATACCTATTTTGTACCTCAAAGGAATGCATTAATATTTTGTGCTAATGTGATGGATGGTTTACAATAACACAAAATGTCTGTGCAAC